GTTTTAGTATTTTTCTTGTCCAAAGTTTCGCAAAATTTCTCTGCTGGCCTGCATTTCTAGATTTTTGTTTAACCTGCCACGCCAAAAAATTGAATTTAAAAAAAATCCGTTTTTAGCAGCATTCCGGCCCGAAATTCCGAAAATTGCCTCTGCTAGGCTACTTAGAACCATTTTTATTTTCCCTGCCATCCAGTCGACCGTTTCCGCAAAGAATCCCTGCTCTCCGGCCCTAATATACCTTTCTTTTTTCAGTTGGCTCAACACAAGGCGATCACCGGCTGTCTGTCCACCGAAATCCAAGATATGCACGGGCTGAGGATCGACACAAAAGCCCTCTAACCCATTACGACATCCAATCCCCGGTCCCCAATGATCTCTGCTAGCATCCCCCCATTTTCTCCGCATTTTTTTATGTGATATTTCGATGAAAATTTGCTCATTTTTCTGGGGGTACAATTTATTCGTTTACGATAGGAAATTAGGTAGAGAGATCAGATTTTTTGATTGATTTTTAGTGTTGGAAAAATAGAAAATAAAGGATTAATAAAATATACAAAAAAATGTGGATTTTTGAGGATTTGTTGACCGGTTTTTTGGGAGAAAATATCGATTTTTCGGGGTTGTTTTAGTCCATATCGTTGTCCTCCTCGTCAATCTTGGGCGCCAGGTAGAAGCGCAGATGGCCGTTCTCCTCGATTCCGTACCTGAAACGAGAAATTTAGGTGAATTTTCGGATTTTTTTGGGTCTAACCCGCTAGAAATTCCGAATTCCCAGAGCCTTTAAAAGGTTTCCAACTAAATTAGCGTATTCCACCGTAATCCCGCGCATTTTTGCGGGTTAAAAACCGGGCTTTTGGCCAGTTTCGGGTCCGGTTGAGCGTTTTTGGGCGTTTCTACGGTAAGTTTTGGATTTTTCAGCTAAAAAATCTACATTTTAGTGGGTTCCAGGCCCTTCCCTTTTCAACCGGTCCTGCGCTTTTTTGGGCCTAAAAATTCGGGCTTTTGGCCAGTTCCCGTTTCCCTTTTGAACGGTTTTTTTGGGTTTCTACAGTAACCTGTGCATTTTTGGCTACGGTATGCCGTTTATGGCTACCTTCCTGGCCCTTTCACGCTTTTTCAATCTATGTAATCCCACGTTTTAATCTCGCCTTGAATTCCCAAATTTTACGGCCGTTGGGTCCCTTAAATCGATTTTTGGGTTTTTTACGCTGATCCTGCGCCTTTTTAGCGACTTTCAGGTCGTTTTAACGCAATTTTTGTTTACTTTTAACCGCCAAAAAATCGATAACGTAGATTTTAATTAATTAGAAGCAATGTATTTTTTTTGTTGACTTCCCGGCCCCTTTAATAGTACCATAACTTACTCGATGACGACAGGGACATCATTAGAGAGTGCAATCCTCACTCGATCACACAGCGAAGAGGCCTTTGTGAATTGATTCATGTATTTGATCGAGAAGTTCACATTCACTGGGTCGTTCACCTCCAGCGTCACTTGCTGCAAAAATTGGAAATTTAACCTCATTTTACGATATTTTCAGGGTTTACAGGTTCTTTGGCAATATCGGGGGGTAATTTCTTGCTTTTAGCTCGGCAATACCTAGAAAGTGAATAATACGTATTTTATTAGTGTTTTTAGCGAATTTAACTATATTTAAGGTCTAAGAATCCCTACAAAATTAATTTTTTTCAAAAATTCGAGATTTGGTGCAAAAATTGCGTTTTCTATTAAAAAAATTTATAAAATTTATACGTTTGAAAATAGCTACAAAACAGAATTCTAGCCTTGTTTTATCTAAATTTATCTATTTCTAAAGTTAAAAACCCATCGAAAAACTTGGCAAAATTGAAATTTTGTCGAAAAATCGGCTATTTTGCCCCCCCCCCCCGATAATGCACAAGTACCAAAATTCCTGCTTTCCACTTACATCTCCATTATCGGCATCTTTGCTCTGTGAGTATGTGATGACAGAACTTCCGCTGTCTCCTTTTCCCGTAAAAACAATACCAGCCTTCGTGGCCGTAATATTGATTGTATCGGAGAACATCGACAGATCAGTGCATGTCTTCTTGAATTCAGCTGATGGCATCGTGCAAACAACCGAATATTCCTGATCCGGAATCCCGAGATGCTCTCCATCAATATCCATCATCTTCATCGTCACGTCCTGAATTGCATAAGGTAATCGATTACGACAGTTTATTCATTAATGAGTATATTGCGTTAAGTTTTAATTTTCAAGCTTTTAAACCCTCTTCTGGCAGTCAGTTCATCATGGTCTCTCGAAAATCCAAAAAAAAATTTTTCCAATTTTTGAGGTTTTCGAATTTTCCGATTACGACAGATATTTTATTAATGCGCCTATGGAATAATTTTTTAATTTGAAGCTTATGAAGCTCTATGCTGGCAGCCAGCTGATAGGTTGACGACACGAAAAAGTAAAAATAATCGGATTTTCAGGTTTGACTACAAAAAAAAAGACAAAAAATCGATTTTCGGGTTTTTTTTTGTTATTAGATTACGCTATGTATTACATTAATGCGCTTCTAAGAATTCTTCTCATTTTGATAATTTTTTTGGCATCGATTTTGCTAGTCAGTTTATCGATTGGCTACGCGAAAACGCGAAAAAAATGGCATTTTCTGATTTTCGAGATCCGATTACGAAATGTATTTCATTAATGCGTCTAGAACGTACATTTTTACTTTCTAAGCTTATAAGGCTTTGCCCTGTTAGTCAGCTTAAAGTACTAACTATTAAAACCCTAGAAAAAGCGGTGATATCCCCTCTTTTTTGACGTACCTGTGTCTTGTCGCGTTTCGTGTCGCAGAAGGTGAAGGTTACGGTATCGGCGTCATTATCGTCGAATTTCAACTCGCACGTATCATCATTGTTGGCACATTTGAGGGCTTTGGCCATATTGGCAAGCGAGAGACCGAGATTGATCGTTCGATCACAACGGTACGTATCGAATAGGCCGACCTGGAATCGAGGGGTACGGTAATGGAGGGATTACGGTAGTTTTCGGTGATTTAACTTTTTTGTCTTACAGTATGGCAGGCAGATAGGCAAATAGACACAAAAAATGGTTGACAGAGAAAAAGTATGACCGGAAATCGAAGATTTGGTCAAAAAAGCGGGAGCCAATTTTTGGGTTACTGTACTTTTTGATAATTTGACTAGTATAATCTACAGTATGACAGACAGACAGACAGACAGGTAAATAAAATGGTTGACAGACAGACAGATTGACAGCAAGACAGACAGACGACCCCTAAAATATCGCTGCTGGGGTTCAAAGCTCGTTTTCGAAACCCTCAATCCATGAATTACGGTACTTTTCCGTGATTTTATTTTTCTGATTCTGATTTACAGTATGCCTGCCAGACAGTTAAATTGTGTGCCAACTGACCTCCATCTTGAGAGAAACAAGCGCCACGTGAGAGCTGTCCATAGCCTGGAGACACATTGCCTGCTCAGAACAATCGAATGGAGCATCAGTCACCAGATCCTGAAATTAATGGGTTTAAAGAGATCTGGACATGGGTTTGTAGTCTCTGTCATCTAGTCTGTAGTCTGTAGCCCATACCTTGATCGAGTCGATGATCTTCTTCAGCAGGGCGGCGTTGGCGAGCTTGGCCTCGAACATTTTCGGGGGTTTTTGGGGGTTGTAGTTTGGAGTCTGGGCTGAAAAGCGAGAGATTTTGAGAGCGAGAGAGAGAGAGAGAGAACGAGCGGGAGCGAGAGAAAGCGAGAAAAAAAAATTAAAAATGGCTGAAAATCCTCAAAACTTTATTTTTTTCACAAAAAAATCTATTTTTTACTTTTTAGAAATGTAAATTAGGCTACAATTCGCTTTTAAACAATACAAAAAACCAACGAGGATTTAATAATTAAGCTTATCAATCAGTTTTGTTTTCGAAAATCCATTTTTTAAGATTTTTCTGGAGTTCTTTGACCAAAAATCCCATTTTCCGCCACATTTTCAAAAATATAAAACTAGAACGGGGTCTGTCTTTCTAAATCCCTAAACTGTCAGCCAGTTTAATAGAAAAACTATAGTAAAAGTCTCAGGAGTTTTTAGGAAAATTTTAAACCCAAGAATATGGCGACTGGAGGCCAATTTGGGAAGTTCTGAGGGAATTGTAAGGTATTTTGGGATGGATTGGGTGGAATGGATGACAGAATGAGTTGGAATGATGGTAGAATGCGGGGATATGGTCACTTTTGGCGGGCTGACCCTTTTGAAATGACCGGCAAGTATGCAGATGGGGGGATGGGAGGCGGGAAAGGGAATTCCCGCCAAATGGATGAGCAGAGGAATGGAGCGGAGGGGATGGAAGGGGACAGGTCATGACAGGAAAGGAAAGAGAGAGAGAAGGGGAGAGACAAATACAGACAGATAGACAGAGAAAAATCGTAAAAACCTAATAAATGACAAACAAAACACGAAAATCGCCTCGAGAATCCTAAAAACCCCTAAAATTCGCATTTTTGTTGGCGGAAAAGTCTAGCTGTGTAGCAGAGATGCTTGGCGCCAAGTAACATTGGGGTTTTCTGGCAATCTAGCAGAGATTTTTGCGGCAACACGTGAAAATCACCCCGAATTTCGTCCAAAATCGGAAAAAACGCGCCAAACTTCGCGTTTTGTGGAAAAAAAGCTAGCAGAGAGCGTTTTGGAACCTTCAAACACATCGATAACGGGAGGCAAACAAACAGAGACCATTTGCGGAGGTTGGAAAGTGTCAGAAGAAGAGGAATGTGAGGCCAGGCTGGCCAGCTAGCCAAGATTCTTGAGGAAGCTAGCCGAGATTTTTGAGGAAAACTGTTTACTGGGAAGATAGGCAGACTAGCAGAGATCATGTTGGAAAAGTTGGGGCGAGCGAGCCGAGATCCACTGCTTGCCCTCGCTGCTGAATAAATACAGCCAATTCGACGGATCTCCCATTTGGTCAGCATTTCAACACATCATCATCCCCTCATCCCTGAATATTCTCGCGTCATTCCGGAATTTGCACGAGATTTTGACGATTGCGAGCATTTTCTAGGTGTGCCTCGAACATAACGGCTCTTAACGACAATTTTAGGCTTTTATAGGACAAACTGGCATCCAATTTAGCAATTAGGAAAATAAGGATCTTTTTCAAAGAAGATTAAATGAGTTTTTGGAGTTAAAAGCCAATTTTTTCTCGAATGTACCAAAATTTCGAGTTTTTTCCAGTTTATCTCGGTAATATCCACTCACTCGCCGTTTTTACTGTTTTAATAGCCGAACTGGCAGTCATTTTAACTATTTAAAATTGTACGAATTTATCAAACAGCCAATTGAATTAAATTTTTAGTTTTAAGCCGATTTTTGCCAAAATATTGGCCATTTTTATCAATTCCACCTCTAATAACGCATCACATTCCTAAATTTTTCGATATATCTTCAAACTGCCATGCACCTCACCCCCCGACACCGTCACCCTACCCGTTTGATCTCTGGGATCCGAGTAATAGCGGGGGTTTGTGTGGTTGGGTGTGGAGGGCTGGGTGACCGGGATGATCTCTGCCCCCTCTTCTCCCTCTCTGTGTCTCTGTCTACTCTGTCCCTCCTATCTCTCCCCTGTCTCTCTCCCCTCTCTGCCCCTCTCCCCTTTCCCCACTCTCTCATTTGATCTGTTCGCCCTTTGAACCAGCCACCTTCCCTTTCCTTTCCTTTCCCACGGCTAATTGATCACCTGGAACCACCCGTTGGCGAGGTTTTACCTCATTTATTCCTTTCTTATTAGTTTTAGAATTATTTTAACCATTTATTGGTATTAAATGGCTGCCAGTTTGTCCTTTGACAAAGTTTTTAGGTCCAAATTGCATCGTTTGCGTTTTTTACCCCGTTTTTAATGGAATTTTGCCTTTTTGGACCTGCTAGTTGCTAACTTTTACCTAATTAACTGCTTCATTAGTTGTTCTAAAACTCTGTTGACTCTATATTAATTTAAACTGCTTGGTAATCGGTTTTGCTGGGTGAATTTGTCATTTTTCACAACTCAATCCAATTTATGTTGTGCCAAGAGTTATTTATACTAAATTTGATTATGTTATCTGACTGCCAGAATAAATTTTGACGACGCAGGAAATTGATTTGAAATTGTCTGAAAGTCACACGGGTTCAATCAACCCTTTTTTCATAGATTCTATCGATTTTCGTGAGAACCGTTTTTATATCGCGACTTATTTTTGCCTTTTTAATAGGCAGTTTTGCGCGGTAAATTCGGGCAAAACCAAGAAAAATCCTTGTTGTAGGAAATCGCCCGAATTGCATGCCGTAATCGAGGCCTTCTAGCGAGGATTTCGTGGATTTAGCCGTTTAGCGTCGTGCTAGCCTCCTCGGTCTATGTATTTTCTGTTCCACTTCATTCCAATCGACAAATTGACTTCCAGCCTGTCTTCTGCGTGCCTTTAATCCACATTTCCGCGTCCATTTCTTAGACTTTGCTTCGTTGTACCCGTACGGAGTACACATACTCCGTATCAACAGGTCATTTTCACTGGGTGCGGTAAATAATTTGTATTTTGTGTTGTGGGGCGCTTGAGGGCAGTGATCTCTCTCTCTCTCTCTCGCTCTCTCTCGCTCTCTCCCCTCTCTCTCGTCTCTCTCTCTCTCTCTCTCTCTCTCTCTCTCTCTGTCTCTCTGTCTCTCTCTCGCCGTCTCTCTCTGCTTCCAGCCGCTGTGCCCTTTTTGTTATTCCCTTTTTCCGTTTGGTTGTGGATAGGTGTTCCGCGTAGTCCTCTTCTTCCGCCTATCTGCCGGCCAGTGAACCCCTCCAGAAGTAGAACTCGATCTCCAGCCGTCTATATCTCTTGCTCACTTGCCAGTTGGCTATGTGCCAGCCAGTTTATCGATTGATCGACTTAGGATACTTTTAAAGAATTTATATCTATCGTTCTCTTTCGCATTCTGCGATCTGCCTGCCATACTACCGTATCCCGGAATATTTGAGTGTACAGAGTAGTGGCGCCGAATTTGAGCAGTTATTTGGCTAAACTGGCAGCCTATGGCCGATTTGGCGAGAGAGCGAGAGATCGAGAGTGATTATAAAAATTTTGAGTTGTGGAATAGGTAAACTGGCAGCCAGTTGAGCGACTGACGAGAGAGCGAGAGATAGAGAGCACTACAGCAAAAGTTATATCTTTTGAAAGGTCCACTGGCGGTCAGTTTGTAGATTGTACTCTGTTTCTCTAATCTCTCTTTCTCCCGCTTCTAAAAAGCCCTTGTGCCTTCTCGCCTCAGAGTTCATTCTCCCCTGCAAAAGGGATGGCCGCTGGGCGACCGGAAAAACAAATACAAAATTTTGCCTTTCGAGTGCCTTTAAAAGGGCAAATCCCGCGGGAGTTCCTGGATTGTCGCTGCCGGATTGCCAGAATTTCGATTTTGTTGCAAAGAATTTGCTAGCTCACCGAATTCCAAAAGAAGCTCTGCTTGTTTGCCTGGTTCCTAAATGGGATTTGCTCGTTTGCGGCGTTCTCCAAGCATCTCTGCTAGCTGCCTGGACGTCAAAATCTCCTAAAAATCTCTGCTGGATTCCGTTTGGTCGAATTTTCCTCAAATGACCTCTGCCAGCCGCCTCGATCCCCAAACGGCCTCTGCGCACTTAAATTTCCCAAATGGACTTTGCTGGTTACCCCTGGATCCCATTTTCCACAAATTCCCTCTGCTAGCTGACTCTCGATTCCAAAATTGTCTCTGCTGGCTGGCGTTGCAACAAAATTTCCCCAAACGGTCTCTGCTGGCCAGCTCACGCCCGATTTTCCGCAAATTGCCTCTGCTGGTTGTCATTTTGTCCAAATTTCCCCAAATGATCTCTGCTAGCTTGCTCTCACTCTAATTTTGTTGTTGGGTGTGTTCTGGCCCCCATTTGAGGATTGTTGTGCTGTGTGCACCCCGTCTGTCTGTCTCTCACTCTTTTCTCTCTCTCTCTCTCTCTCTCTCTCTCTCTCTCTCTCTCTCTCCTTGTTGTCCATTCCCATTCCTTCCCTTTTCCTTCTTTTTGCAGTGGTTATTTTTCGATGCCACCCATCTAGGAGGCACACCCCGACAACAAATTCTCTAGACCCCAACCACCCCGGGGCCCAAAATATACCCATAATATCGATTTAATACCTTAACTGACAGTCAATTTATCGATTTCCGCAAATGGTTCCTGCTAGTTTGCCTTGAAAATTCGTTTTAGCTGGAAAATCACCAGATTTCTCGAGTTTTGTTAGATTTCCGCAAATTATCTCTGCTAGCATGCCCTGAAAACGGTGTTATGAACCGGATATATTAGCTGACAACCAGGTTTATCGATTTCCGCAAAGGAACGCTGGCGTTTTACCTTGTAAATTGGATTGACTCGGAAAATCATCAGAATTCTGGATTTCTGGATTTTCCACAAATTATCACTGCTAGCATGCCTCGGGTACGAAATCGATCCTTCTGATTCATCAAATGGTAGCCAGTCTACAGATTTCCGCAAAGAAACCCTGCTAGCTTGCTCCCTTTCATGGGTTGAGTCTGAAATCGAAAAATCACGTTTTTTGAATTCCTAAATTTTCTCTGCTACATTGCCCTCCATTCCTGAATGTTCTCTGCCAGCCAGTTAGCCCACTTTTGCAGGTAATTCTCCG